CTGTCTTTTTTAAACTTCTTTCTTCTAAAGAGCTATTAATTTTTGTTTTTTTACACTGTATTTGCATCGTCTTTTTTCTCTGTATATATTCAGTGCTTTGAGTTTCGCTGCTCCTACCTTTTTTTCTCCTCCCGCTCTATTTCTCGCCTCCTTTACCAATCGGTATCCTGCTCTTTCTGTCGAAATATCTCCCATTCACTCTATTTCTGTATTTTCCCGCTTCCCTTTCTCTCTGTTTATCTCTAATTCTAAAGAATGCTTTACTCTCTCCCCTTACTTTTTCCTAGCTCTAACTTCTCTCATCGTCAACCTCACTGCCCTTTTCCACCGCTTTGGCACACTATACTATACAAAAGAATGTTATGCTCTACTAGCATGCTTGGACAGTCCACTGGTTACGATGTTCCCCTCTGAATCGTCAGTACGTGATGTCGAATACTGCCTCGCCAAGAAACAAAATCTCCCTTTTTCTTTCTATATCTTTTATTCCTTTCTTTCTATGTGCACTTGATCACTTAGCCATCAGAGTTGTTGCAGGCCACGAAGCACGTGCTCTGGGAGCTAAGCAGAAGATGAAAAAGACGAAGGAGAAAATGAGGCTAAAGAGGTCACGTGTCATGTCATAGTTATAATTTCTGTTTACTCGTCTCGTACAATTCTCGGCTTAAACATCTCCGCTGATAAAAACTCTCCTATTAGGTCTCTCCTATTCGGCGACATACCTATATAGTGAGTGATGCGTATGGTGGCTGTCATGTCCAATTTCACTGCTTGCACTGCTGGCACTTGTCCTGTCCTTTCTTGTCCTTGTTCCTTTGTGTCCCCAAATTTTCATCATACTATTTCACTGCTCTTAGCAGTTCGTTTCTGGAAGTTGGTTGAACCCCACAGGGTTCTCATTAGTGTTTCTTGATAACATGAATAACGGTCTTAAACTATACTTGAGAGCGAGATTTGAGGTTAAATAGCAGTGATATTAGCTGCAATTTTGAATGTAAGCATTTATAGGTACTTATTGACATTTTGTGTCATCTAGGCACAAACACCAAAAATAGGCATTTAAAGGCACTATAAAAACACTATAAAAGTAATTAGTGACTGCTCACTCATGCTCATATATTGTAATATCGTGGTAAGTACACAAGAAACAAAATAGGCATTTGCCTAAAATCCAGTCTCTAGTTATCACCCTACGTGTATTTACTTACTGTGCATCTATTTTACGCAAATAGACTCAAGAGGAAGCTAAGGACTGTACTGAGTAATGGCAAAAAATTTTAGGGATAATGCTTTTAAAGTTTTCAATTCGAACAGGATAGAAAAGATGCCACTGACTGCTTACATAATAACTAATTAAAGTGGACGATTGGGACAGTTGGTGATGCATGATCTAAGTGTACTACGCAGTCCTTGTCTTTTTCCCGTCCGTGTTTTCTACCACATAGTACACTCAGATACATAATAACATCGCACATTACCTCATTGGTTGGCAACTTCTTCTTAACTGCAGTCTCATCGGGAAGGACTTTCTGCTGCCTCACCAGGTGACCACACAAGTTCTTTAGAAGGTGAGGTGCATCTGCAAGGAAGTGGAGGTTGCGGCTTCCATTACAAGAGTGAGGACATGTGGTCTTAGGGCGCCCTTACTTTGTGGCCATTGTGTTGCACAACCTCCAAATGGCCTGGTCGCCACTCCCCATGTCGGAAGTTACACAGTCCACTCACAAACCAATCCCTTCACATTTCCTGATAATTTCAAGAAGATGGTCAATACCTCATCATCCTCAGCAGCAGATGCCTGAGTACGTCACTTCTTCTTAATCTCATCTGCCCACCTAACCTTCTGTCTCCAACTAACCCCCTTCCCTTCTCTGGGAATCCAGTTAGTTACCCTTAATGACCAGCGGTTATCCTGTCTACGCGCTACATGCCCGGCCCATGTCCATTTCCTCTTCTTTATTTCAACTATGATATCCTTAACCCCCGTTTGTCCCCTAATCCACTCTGCTCTCTTCTTGTCTTTTAAGGTTACACCTACCATTTTTCTTTCCATTGCTCGCCGCGTTGTCCTCAATTTAAACTGAACCCTCTTTGTAAGTCTCCAAGTTTCGGCTCCGTAGCTAAGTACCGGCAAAATACAGCTGTTATATACCTTCCTCTTGAGGGATAGTGGCAATCTACCTGTCATAATTTGAGAGTGCTTGCCGAATGTGCTCCACCCCATTCTTATTCTTCTAGTTACTTCAATCTCGTGGTTCGGCTCTGCGGTTATTACCTGCCCTAAGTAGACATAGTCTTTTAAGAGACATAGTCTTTTACAACTTCAAGTGCACTATTACCTATCTCGAAGCGCTGCTCCTTTCCGAAGTTGTTGTACATTACTTTCGTTTTCTGCAGATTAATTTTAAGACCCACCTTTCTGCTCTCCTTGTCTAACTCCGTAATTATGAGTTTCAATTCTTCCCCTGAGTTACTCAGCAATGCAATGTCATCGGCAAAGCGCAGGTTACTAAGGTACTCTCCATTAACTCTTATCCATAACTGTTCCCACTCTAGGCTTCTGAAAACCTCCTGTAAGCACGCGGTAAATAGCATTGGGGAGATTGGGTCCCCCTGCCTTACACCCTTCTTGATTGGTATTCTGTTGCTTTTTTTATGAAGCACTACGGTAGCAGTTGATCCCCTGTAGATTTCTTCCAGAATGTTTATATATACTTCATCTACGCCCTGATTCTGCAGTGTCTGCATGACGGCTGATATTTCTACTGAATTAAACGCCTTCTCGTAATCTATGAAGGCTATGTATAGTGGTCGGTTGTACTCTGAGCATTTCTCTAATACCTGATTTATAGTATGAATGTGGTCAATTGTTGAGTAGCCTGTTCGAAATCCTGCTTGTTCTTTTGGTTGATTGAATACTCATGTTTTCTTTACTCCGTTAGCAATTACCTTTGTAAATAGCTTGTATACTACAGAGAGCAAGCTGATCAGCCTGTAATTCTTCAAGTCCTTGTCATCTCCTTTCTTATGTATTAGGATGATGTTAGCGTTCTTCCAAGACTCTGGTACTCTTTTCATCAGGAGACACCTTGTAAACAGGGTGGCTAGTTTTTCTAACACAATCTGTCCTCCATCTTTCAGCAGATCTGATGTTACCTGATCCTCACCATCAGCTTTGCCTCTTTGCATGCTCTCCAAAGCTTTTGTGACTTCTTCTATCATTACTGGTGGGGTGTCATCTCGGTTACTGCAAGTTCTTATAGTATTAAAGTCGTGGTTGTCCCGGCTACTGTACAAATCTCGGTAAAACGTCTTTGCTATTTTAACTATCCTATCCATATTGGTAGTTATTTTGCCTTCTTTGTCCCTTAGTGCATACATCCGACTTTTGCCTATCCCAAGTTTCCTCTTCACTGCTTTGACGCTTCCTCCGTTTTTCAGAGCGTGTTCAATTCTCTCCATGTTATACCTTTTTACATTGTATACCTTACGTCTATTAATCAACTTCGAAAGCTCTGCCAGTTCTATTTTGTCTGTTGTACTTGACACTTTCATGATTTGATGCTTCTTAATTAGGTTGTTCGTTTCATGGGAAAGCTTGCCAGTGTCCTGTCTAACTACCCTGCCTCCAACTTCCACTGCACACTCCGTAATGATATTCGTTAGATTATCATTCATTGTATCTATGCTAAGGTTGGTTTCCTCACTAATAGCCGAGTACCTGTTCTGAAGTGAGACTCTGCATTCCTGTACTTTCCCTCTCAGTGCTAGCTCATTGATTGGCTTCTTGTGTATCAGTTTCTGTCGCTCCTTCTTCAAGTCTATGCGAATTCGGGACCGTACCATTCTATGGTCACTGCATCGTACCTTGCCAACCACTTCCACATCCTGCACGATTCCTGGGTGTGCAGTCATTATAAAATCTATTTCGTTCTTATTTTCGCCATTAGGGCTCCTCCATGTCCACTTGTGGTTTTCTCGTTTTTGGTAGAAGGTATTCGAAATCCGTAAATTATTGCGTTCTGCGAATTCTACTAGTAGCTCTCCTCTGGCGTTTCTAGGGCCAATGCCATAATCTTCTACTGCCTGGTCTCCAGCCTGCTTCTTCCCTACCTTTGCATTAAAGTCGACCATCACTATAATATACTGTGTTTTTACCTTACTCATTGCCGATTCCACGTCTTCATAGAAGCTTTCAACTGAAGCGTCATCATGGCTGGATGTAGGCGCGTAAGCCTGTACTACCTTCATCTTGTATCTTTTGTTCAGTTTAATTACGATACCTACCATCCTTTCATTCTTGCGATAGTATTCCTCTCTGTTGCCAGCTATGTTTCTGTGAATTAGGAACCCGACTCCCAGTTCTCTTCTGTCTGCCAAGCCCCGATAGCAAAGGACGTGCCCATTCTGTAGCACCGTATAGGCCTCATCTGTCCTCCTAACCTCACTGAACCCTATTATATCCCATTTAACACCCTCTAGCTCCTCGAATAGTACAGCTAGACTTCCCTCACTAGATAAGGTTCTAGCGTTAAACGTTGCCAATGTTCAGGTTCCAATGGCGGCCTGTCCGGATCCAGAGATTCTTAGCACCTTCTGCCTCGTTGCAGATCTGACCGCCGCCGTGGTCAGTTGCTTCGCAGCTGCTGGGGACTGAGGGCCGGAGTTATTTGACGTATACATGTGGGAGGTAGTGGCCAGATACTGCACCAAGGTGGCCAATCATTCTCTGGTGAGGGAGTGCGTTCCCGGCGGTGGTTACCGGTGAGGCCGCACCCCAGGCCTCTTAATGCAGTTCCATCAACAGGCGATTTTTTTGAAAATCAGGTTGGGAACTGCGTGGCACCGGGATTTGAACCACGGACCTCTTGCATGTGAGGCGGATGCTCTAACCACTACGCCATCGCCGCTCGATCTATACCCGTTCCAATAATACAACCCAGCCTGGGTTGAATACCCTTCAGCAAGGACTCTCACGTGCCTCAGTTGGAGTCCTGCGACTAGGACCGCGACCGGTCCCTGCTTCTGGACTTCTCCCTGCCAGCCTCATCAGACCCTCCCTGCGCTGGGCTGCCTCTCTTCCTCGGACTGCGCGACCATGAACGGGACCGCGAGTCCTCTCGGCCCTCCTCTCGTGGGCTGCGGGATGCACTGCGCATACGGGAGTCTCCGTTCACCACCGGACTGTGGCTTCTATTCCGTGGCTCGCTCTCTTTGCGACTTCGGCTGCGGCTTCTGTGAGACTTGCTTCTGCTCCTCTCCTTGGACCTGCAACGGCTCCGGTGCTTGCTGGAGCTCCGCTCCTTGGACTCGCTGTGCTTCTTGCTTCGGCTGCGTTCTTTGGACTTGGAGCGACTACGGTGCTTGCTTCGGCTTCGCTCTTCGGACTTTGAGCGGCTACGGTGCCTGCTCTGGCTGCGGTCCTTGGAGTTGGAGCGGCTGCAATGCTTTGACGGACTGCGCTCCCTCGACTTCGAGCGGCTTTGACCTCTGGATTTCGATCGGCTCCTTTTGGTCTCGCGGCGTCGAGAGCGGCTCCGCTCCCTGGACTTGCTGCGGCTCTTCTGCCTGCTACGACTGCGGCTCTTTCGCCGGCTTCTGCTGCGGCTTTTCCAGGCTTTGCTTCGAGAACGCCGACGATCCCTTGATTGGCTTCGGGACCTCCTTGATCGGAATACCTGCTTTGCATCAAAGGAGTCAGGTGAGAAAGAAGAAATAACAAATGCTATAACTTTGGGTATTTAATGTTCCTCTGGGGTTTAAAAGGACACTTAAGAGAAACTATCAATTGTTTTAGGTTGATAAATTGTGCTCTGAGAACTTTGGTGTGATTTGTTTTGCCATGATAGGTTTATTAATGGAGGAGAAAGTTAAACTGAAAGTTTCAATTTTAAATTTCATGCCGAAATCTGGATCTGTTGTTCCAACGATTTCAAAGTGCATTTTAGTAAATTGGCACCACTGGCGCAATGAAATTTACAGCAGGAGGAACTGATAAAACTTGGTATGTTAAGTCTATGCCCCACTCAGAGAACACGTCGTTTAATTTTCATCGCGTACTTTATTTTGACCGATTAGGAACTACGTAGGTCCGAGTAGGCATCGTCAAAGTTTGTAACGTCACGTCAAATGGTGTGGTAATGTCAAGATCGCGTTGCCACCAACGATCGTACTTTTAACTAGAAAGTGTTTTATCGTGGCGTCCACCACGACATTGGTGATGTACATCCGTCACGGATATGACGTGGATAAAATGTATGTCAATGGGTAATAAAGGAAAAACAATAACACAATTGTCCGTAACTGGCGATCGAACCCAGGACCACAATGGCAGACTTCTAGCGTTCTACCGACTGAGCTAGTAAAGCGCATGATACACGCTGCACTAATGTGTGTTATATCTCTCACACATTCTCTTTTGCATAAGTGCTCTGTTGGCACAGTAGGGCTAGTGCGCAGCGGCGTGCACTCGCTTTACCTTGTTGGTGCCTGGTGTGCATACTCACCCCTACTCTGCCAACAGAGAGCTTCTGCATGTGCAAGTGTAGGTTAACAGCACCAGCTATTAGACCATTTAAATCAAGCTCACTGGTGTTAGTCGTTGTGATGGAGGCATGTGACAAGGTGTCAACGAGGGTTCGTCCACACCAAACAGTGCCATAGCTGCTAAACACGAATACAAACACGAATACACATAGTACAAGCACTCATATATCACTATACCGTAAGCTTTACTCTTGTGAAGACACTTTTGTGTGATAACGATTCTTATGATAAGGAATCAGCTAAGTTTTTTTCGCTTTTTTTTCACTTATTAGGAGTCTTCTCACAGCAAGTGTTGTGATTTTGGTAACAAAGAAAACTACTTTACCAATGCTCTTCGTTCTGCTCTTTTGTGTCCCTTTAACATGCCGTAATCGAGATATCACAATTATGGCAAACTGGAGCACTATGACTAATTGTGGCCATCTGGGGTGCTTTAGAACGCACCAATGCTGAACAATACACGGTCCTTTAGCATTTCAGCTCCTTTGAAATTTTCAACTCTTTCACCTTTAGCTGTGTCTTATTACCGAAACAGGAAAGCAATTCTCTTAGTATTCACCTTGTAGACTGTTCACTTCGGTCTCCACCAATTTGCTGGAGCTAAATGAGCAGCGTTCCCCCAGTTTCCGGTTCTTTTTCCAGAATGTCATTTTTAGGACAACAAGCTTTTACAACTCTGGACAAAATCGGAGGGACGGAATACGCTTCATCGCAACAAATGCAGCCCCCGAAGATTTGCTTTTGGACACCTATCTCGCAGGCCGTGCATGAACTCTGACCACCTTAAAGGGGTGCTGACCTTTTTTTTTCGAAGGAAAGTTCACCCATCCATGTAAATCTACTGTATATAGAGACTGCTCTGCGAAAGCGTGAAGGTCAGCAAATGCCAATAAGATATTTTAGTTCGATATTAAAGTAGAATTTTCCGAGGCGCACCTACCACCATCAACACTAGCTGGTCGTGAGGCTACGGTACTAATTCTTGAAACTTCACACTCAGAAGTCTGGCTAGTTTCGATGCCAGGTACGAAAACTTTCTAGATGTCCACATGTGCATCACCAATGGAGCCGTGGTTTGGTATGGCCGTGGAAACACGTGACGCGAAGCGCATGTTGTGTCATGACATCAGGGTGAAGTAGAAATGAAACTACCTTTTAAAAACGTGCTGTAATAACTTTTTCTCAGGTGCTTCGATGCTTAGCACTACATTTACTAGAGCTTTGAGGGCTTGGTTTCTGAATTGATGGAGTAAAATGACAATTGAAAATTTTCGTGTCAGTACACCTTTAAGTTTACTGTTCCTTTCATGTATTGAGTTATTATAGGGGGAGTGAACCGCTTCTATAAATTAGCATTGAATCACTATATTATTGGAGTTTAAGATATCTCACGTACACCTATTTGTTTCTACAGGTGAGCTATTGATTTCAGAGTGTACGAAAGAAGCCAGCTTTAGAGCATACTTTAGGCTTAGTTGAAGAAGTTTTGTGCGTAATTGCTTTTACACCAAGGTCACGCTGCAGGAAACAAAACCTGTATAAATACTTTTGCATTGCGGCTTAATCTCCTCCGGGTACTTTTTGCTCAACACGTAAGGGTTGGGAAGAGATCGCGTCTGCAGTTTTCTCCAGACGCATTCCTGCGCCTTAGTCAACCGCTTGTGTGGGGGCGGATAAAACCTCCACTCTAGTTTATAATGATTCGTTATGTCATGAAAGGACACCAGCCCATCTCTCGTGGACCTCCCTGGAACTGGCGGCTCACCTATTCGGCTGACGAAACCTCGAGCATTCAGGTGAGCCGCCTCGTTCCCAGGGTTCCCAGAGTGTGCTGGTATCCAGACAATTTCTATTTCTCTAATTTCTCGTCCCGTGGCCCCATGCAGAAATCGTTCGGCGGTCGCCGATATTCTGCCCCTCGCCAGATTTCGGATGGCTGTCTTTGAATCACTGAAAATCAAATTCGACTGCGAATTAGTTATAGCTAGCACTATTACCGCTTCCTCTGAAGTTTCCGAGGAGCGGGTTTTGACCGATCCAGAGGCGAGCAAGTGTCCCCGCCTGTCCACCACCACAATCACAAAAGCGTCTTTGTCCTTATATTCCGCAACATCTGTATAGACTGCCGCTTTGTACTCGCTGTACTCGACGTGTAGAGCTCTGGCTCTTGCCTGCCTGCGCTGCGTATGGTGAATCGGGTGCATATTTTTGGGCAAAGGTTTTATGTACAGGTCCTTATGTACCTCTCGCTGCACCTGAATTTTAGTATCCCCAGTGGGAGCCTCTGCTCCAATGCCAATCCTTTCCAATATGATCCTGCCCGCTTTGGTTGTTGAAAGCCTAGTGTGCTGCATCACCAGATGCGCCTCCCATAATTCATCGAGGGTGTTGTGTACCCCTAGTTTTAACAGCCTTTCTGTAGGCGCGTTGTTGGGCAACCCAAGTGCTGCCTTGTAAGCTTGCCGGATCATAGCCTCGACCTTACCTTTTTCTGCAGCATGGTGTCAGGCCGTGGCAACATATGATCACATACTTTGGGAATGTAGCATAGTGCCACCACCTGTGGATATTACGCGTGATCCCCATCTTGAGCAATGGGAGGCCGTGTTGACCAGCTCAGACCGAGTCGTCCAGTTAAGGGTCGTGGAGTGGGCCACACAAGTCGCCACCAACCTTGGGTTGATGACCATCTAACACTAAATCATCCTCAGCTGCTTTCTGACGAAATAAAGCTTTACCATTCATCCATCCATGTATAAATACTTACCGATGACCAAACTTGTACTGCTGTCATAATCGAGACCTTAGGTGAGCTGTATTTCACCGAGCATAATGACAGCATACCATTCCTCTGCCTCGAATGTTGCAACTTTTGCTGCAAGCACAGGAAAAACATCCTCAAGGATTCCTAGAAATATGCAGACTGTTGTTAGCTTGTTGAGCAGTTTGAAGGAGAGGCATGCATGATGAGTTACTTAAAATCAAATAAAACAAATTGAACAGTGCTAGAAGAAAATCCAATCGATGATAATGGAAATAGTTGCGAAGGCTTTACATCCGAAAACCACCATATGATGATGCATGCCGTAGTAGAGGTTTCTGAAAATTTTGACCACCTGCAATTCTTCAATGCACTGAATCCAATCAAATTAACTACATACATTAAAAATGTAAGAAAGTGATGTACTGCCTTCTCACTATTATTACAAAACCAGTCTTGCATCATGGCATTTGCATCAAAACATTTGTGATCACACTGCACCAATTTTAATAGTTATTTTTGCACTCATCTCAGAGTTGAGCACTAAAGGCATTCCGGGGCTAGAGGATGTAGATGTATGTGATGACTGTGACGAGCGAGCCGCAGGGGCAAAATCCTGAGCGCGAAATCGAAACGAAAAAGGAAGAAGAGAAGAAAGAAGACTGGTGCAGTGAACGTACGCAGCCGGTTTCTTCATGTGTGTTCTTGTCCTCGTACAATATAAAGAACGTCTTCGTGTTATCAGGTTGTCTTGAGTGCGTCTGATGACCTGGGCCCATTGAGTAAAACCCTTTTTTCACCACAATGTAAAACATTGCAGGGCCTTTTCTAAGTGAATAAGGTATGCTTGTTAAAACGTGGGTTCACATAAACGCTTCTTGCATTTTTTGTATGCTGAGCTAGGTATCATGGCTCGCCCTAATTTATAGTAGTGTATCATTTGTGTTTGCTGATTAATTAAAAAAGACATACTATAGGTTACTGCAATGATGATTAGCGGTTTCTTTTATAGTGCTCCTGGATACGAAAAAGATGACACGTACCTGGTGAGAACTTGATGTTTTCGATGTTTCTCTTGAGGATTCTTTCTTCAGGCAGTGGCCATCTATTGTCACGAAGGTATTCGTATGCTCTTGACCCGCAAGCAAGTCGAACTTTTAAAGACTCTGTACTGTCACTCCACGTGGATCCTCTCATATATAGAGTTCCTTTCTCTAGATAACGAAGTTGATCATCAGCAAAGATCTTACTAAATGACTCTTACAGGCTTTCACACTCTTTTTCAGGCTTTGCTCGTTTCTGCTCTAAATTGAGCTGCCACTTCAAGACCAAAAGCTCATTAAATGGATCATCATCCGCAATAGTGCTTCTTTCAGTCTTCTTGCACTGATGACTCATTCATTCGGTCAACTTCTGCTGTTGCGAAACAGATTTCATTCATGATTTTAGCTAATAATTCCAGCACTAAAAAATTTCAAGAATCTGGAATCAGTATATCACATTATGTGTGTAAAGCTATAACAGGTAGCACTAAAAGAAAGATATAACAAAAAGTGGGGGCTATGTGCGTCAACAAGCATATTGAACTGAACCAATTGGTTTATTTATGGACATAAAGAAACCATGTCAACATTACATAGGATACTAGCAATCAATCCATATCTGTACTTTTACATTGACAATAAAGAGAACAGATACACCAAATTAGAACATTGAATGCACACAACTGCTGTTGGTAAGGTGCAGTCCACAGGTCGAATGATTGTGCACATTTTTGCAGTTCTTTAGTAATGAAAACTAACACCTTGGAGCATGATAAAAGCTATGAAACCTGGAAGCTGTGGGAACTCTTGCACAAGGAATGCCCCAGAGCTGTTTGGCTGAATGCAAGGAAGTAACTCGTAATGCAATTACTGAATGCATATTCGAAGCATGCTGTGAGAAGCACACACGAGTTTTTTTTAGAGTCACTGGAAAAAAAATTTTATAACTCTAGAGTTTTTAAAAGTGTGGGACTGAAACTTTATTTGATATAATCTGGTTAAGAGTGAATATTGCCAATGAAATCAGAAAGCATGCATATTTTTCATCTGGCAAATTTCCACAATAGCCTGGCTATGCAGCAGATGAATCGTATCTTTACACACACGTGTATTTTCAATTCCTATCTTGCTTTCCAAAAAATGAAAGCCATGGAAGAGTGAACAAGACTTAAATACGATTCAGAAGAATTTCACGTCCTCGTTGACCTTTTGAAGCACTCAATTAGCCCCCAAATACGTAATAACATAGAGGTACCTGTTGCAGAAGCTTTCATCATAATGCTTCCGTCTACAGAAGACTCGGCATTGCCTTTCGAGTTTGCAGGTGCTCGCTCGCAGTGAAGGGTTTCCTCTAGGTTTCCAGGTGCACCTTGGTTGTCTGTAATTAAGGTGCTTCCAGAGCATTGCTTAGGTTATCTGGCATTGGCTGCTGGCATACTGGTTGTGATACTGGACCAGGAAATGGAGGCTTTCTGGGTTTTTTCTGAGGTCTATGAGCAAAAATGCTTGGCACTGCCATCCACTTCAACTTCTTTTTGCCATCTACTCTTGCTTTCTCATAATCACCCGCAAATGAGTGGTCCTGTTAATTGTGCATCCAGACAAAAATTATTATTGACACTACTTGGGCGCATTGTTTCAAATTATTTGTTAGTCATGAGAAACAATTAATTAGGCAATGTAGTTGCTGCCAACATCTTGATCACACTCCTAAATCAGAATTTTCATCAATGCTTGTTCACTATTTCCTAGTTTAGAAACAGGATAAAAGGGTATTATCACAGATGAAAAGGCAGGCATGGAAATGGGAGGTACAGAGTTGTGTAGTGCTACGTCAGTGAGAGAA